CGTGTCAAAAAACGGGACGGTTAATCGAACTAATGGTTCAGCCCTGCTGGACGCGGCTTACCCATCCGCCCCTGGATCTCTGGAACGCTTTTCCCTCTCGAAGCGCCTCCACCCTCCCGAGAGCGGAGGGAAAATTTCGAAATTGAAAATAGTGCCACGGTCGCCAGGAATTTCGACACATCCCGTCATGCCGAAGCATCAGTGTACTCTTCAAATGTGAAATGGAACATTACGAAACGAGGAAGAGAAGTAGGCGATTACGAACGAGGACGGTAAAACACGAGTCGTAAGAATCTACTTTCCACCCTCGAAAGGTAAAGGTTGACGTAACACGTAATAGGCAACTTCCGCTTCGACAGGCACTGAAAGTCGAACTTTCAGTGAAGGGGCAATAAAAACGATGTTCCTTTTGGCCGGTAATTTTTTTTCTCGAGAGAGTAGAGTCAGAAGCTCCTCCATTGAAATCTTCCGCGACAGGGAGGATTCCGAGAAAAGCCTCGGATGAAAACTCCGACTCGGGTCCCTCGGGTGACAACTCGGACACGCGTAACAGGAAATTGGTTTTGACACGTGTCAGCGGCCATTAAGCCGGGTTTATTCGTAGCCGGGCATCGGGCCGCTTCCGAACGACACGTGTCTTCTTATTAGAGACACCCACTCGAAGAGGCGCCGCGCGCATGCGCGAACCCGATTCCTCGAAGGACCTGCTACCAGGATCCGGGACGCCAACGCTTCGCTAAACGTCCCGGCGTAACGAGTTCGCCGATGGCTTCGATCCCGGCAGTTTGTCACGATTTGAGCATCGCGGCAAATTGAATTGGCCATGGCGACGCCGATACATAGAGTGCCGGTTAAGGGGCCCTACGTGTCCCTGCTTAATCAATTCTCTTATCGTTTCTTCTTCCGGAAGTGAGGCTCCTCATTAACGAGAACGTTCAGCCAGTTTCAAGGACGAGGTCCTGTCGTGCACTGATTAAATTTCGCTCCCCGGATTTTTCTCTATATACCGAATCATCTGAAATTTTCCCACATAAACACAGAAGCCCCCAAAAAGGCCCTGCTACCCCCTGAATTTAATTTTCTATACTCATTCTTCTAAATGTCCACAAACAAATTATCAAAAAATTGTAATTCCATGACTGTTCGGACCTTCCTTGAAGCTTCCACATTTATGTGGGAAAATTTCAAACGATTCGACGCACCCAATCCAGAGGAAAGTTTCATAAATCAGACCTGACGCCACTCCACGTCACCTTAAGGTCGTTTATTGCAATGAGAAGATTTCATCGCATGATGTGTCCCCGTTGACCCTATTGCTTAAATTCCGTGTGTCAAGACGCGTACTTCCGGTAACGTTTAGAAAGAGAAGGTCCTTCTCTCCGTCTAACCTCCTCCGGACACGTGGTACACGTACTATAGCAATGTCTACCCTATTTCTATAAGGTCTACGGTCTCCAAGGACGCTTCCTGGAAGCGTCGGCCTAGAAAGGGAGATGTATCGAGAGGACCCCCGCCATTTCACGGGAAGCCGCCCGTCGATCAAAGGCCGAGACGCCGCGGAGAATCGGCATCTGCGACAACAAGGCGTTAATTAAAGCGGGACGCGGAAGTCGCCACGATGGATGTCGCCGCGAGGCGATCCGAGGACGGGCTCCGTGTTTCGCGAGATTGAAATTCAAATCAACACCCCGGCTCCAGCCCGGATCCCCGGAACCCGCGTTCTAAGGGTGGCGCGCGTTACCGCTGCGGACGCCAGCCAAGGGGGCCCCCGGCGATGACGTTTCGCCCGCACCCTGGATATTGGCCGCGTCCCGGGACCATCTGATTTGCATGGATAGAATTGACGGCTGTTGGCCCAACACGCCCGCCCGAGCGGAATCTATTAGCGGATATACCGCGCTAATTTCCTACCAGTGCCCTAAGTGGCCTGCTTTCAAACTCGAGATGCGAATCGACCATCGAACGAACTCGACGCTTCTCCCTTGTCGCGTCTTTGTCGGCGAGATCGGCGTCACGCTAATTAGGACGAAGTCACGCCGTACACGTAGGGTGGCGCATCGAGGATGAAAATCATCCCCCAATAGAAATTACGAAAGTGACCCACGGGATTAAGCGCAACTCTGATTAGGTTCTCACCCTCGACGCGACGACGCGCCGCGTTATTTGTGACCCTCCTCTTGGACGCGTAACGCCATGTCTTTACTTAAGGTGATGTGAAAGAGGTTTCGTTTATAAAACTTTTCTCCGAATTGAATTTGCCGAATCATTTTATACTTTACTACGTGAATATGGAGACTGTAAGGAAGGTCCTGAAACTCATGGAATTTCATTCTTTTTCGAAATTTGTTTATAGGTACTCTTAAAATTTGGTGTAAATGAAATTTCCTGAGTGTTGGGACCTTCTTTATAGGCTCCATATTTACATTGTAAAATTTCAATCGATTCGATACACCTAGTTCAGCGAAAAGTTTCATGAACGATCGAACCCTCAGATGCTACTTTCACATCCCCTTAAGGGAAAGAATTCAATATACGTGTACCAAGAAACTGGGTAGAGTTTAGCGCCAAGTGCACCGTATCCAGTTCATAGTATGTCTTAATCGCGATTTTTGCGCTGTGAGTAGAAAAGCAAATAGACTCTTGAAGAGACGGTGGGCTAGGATGACCAATGTCGAGGGAAATGCGTCGTTGCATCGTCTCTCTTCGGTCCTTCGGAGGACCCTTCAAGACTTTCAAGATCCCTGATAACTACCGATGTCTTTCGAAGTAACGGCCCGGTCCTTTGACCGTGAGGTAAATTAGCGGAGCGGCCGGAAGGACCACTTGTAATTACGGAATTTTCCTGGTCTCGTCCAGAGCCGGCCATTTAATTAATTCCCGGCCGAAGTTGGTACCAATTGGCCAGTCGGAGGACTCGGCCCTTCGCCGAAGTTTGAATTCAATTCACCGGCCATCTTTTCACGAGACTCCTGGCGGAAGTTTCGAGTCCTCCACCGCGGAGGACCGATTCCGCAAAGACGTCCGCCCCTCCTTGAGGTCCTTCGGCCTCTTTCCGACTCTCGATATCTCTCGCATTCTTCACTAACAACCACATTCGTGGAAAACGAGGGCCGGGAAAAGTTGGCGCGCCCTGAAAACTGGGAAAACGAGCGCCCCCTCCCGGAAAAGCGTCTCCCCCGCCCGAATTTTCCTCGAATCTCGGATTTCCAAGACCCTCTTCGACTTCACGCAAATCGTCCTTATGAAACCCAAACGCAGAATGATATTCGGCTGAATCGATAAAACTTTTGTTGGTTCAACCATCGAATATGGCCCTTATATGGACGAACGAATATTCACATAACTAAACTCTTTGGTTAATAACGCTCGGTTGATCACAAAATATTATGGCAGATCGCGTCAAATATTTGTGATCTTGGTAATAACCGTTTTAATCTCCCTGCTTATTCTTAGAGAAAACTGTTCACTTTATTAAAGTTTGTCCCGGCAAAAGAGGAACTTTGTTTCCTCAAGATTGTATTACTAGCATCCGTCGTATCGATTTCGCTCGCGATATGAGCAACTCGTTGACGAAAGATCATGACCGCTTGTGAGAGCAGCTCCATGGACCCTCCTCACCAAGCGGATACTCTATTAACTAAAATATTTCATAAAATTAACGAAACGATTATTAACCGGAACACTTTAATTAATTAAAGCTAACGAGAGTGATCGAGTGGACTAAAATTCGGTTCCCTCAACCGAAACGATTTCCGAAGTGGATCAAATGTAGCCAATCGAATTACTTTGTTAAACGAACCGAATTTTTTCTACGTGTCCTGCTTCATATATTATTTCCGTCGCGTTACCTTCTTCCTGTTTCTTCTCCCCACCATCTTTGGTAACCTTTGATAAAAACCACCCCGCAAAAGAGCGGCTAACTCGGTCGAAGCGCCTCTTTACGATGGGTCGCATTTTTTTTCCACTTCCCTCGCACGCCGAGAAATTAAATCGTTCCTTAAAGCGAGACTTCCTCCCTGCACAAAGAACCAGCTCAAAGCTTGCGAGGACGTTGCGGAAAATTCGCCGCGTCTCCGTCGCGACGAGCTTCGTTTAGGGACGCCATTAGTAGCGAAAAGTGGAAGCTTAAAAAAAAATCAAAGAAAGCCCATCGTGATTCCGGAAATTCGAGACCGTTCTAATATCTCCTTGGACTCTTATCCAAGAAAGTAATTATTCCGCCATCATACCGCAATACCTGCGCCAACACGATTACATGTTTATTTAATTTCCTTATTAGAAGCACTTGCAGTGAGAATAAACATTTCTTCGATGGAGAGAAAACAATTTTTTTGAATAAAACTCGATTTCGAAAAAAAGACAGGGTTTAATAGAAAGAACATGTAATTACCCCAATGAAATATTTGTTTTTCATTGAAACAACATGATAATATTCTGGGAATCTCTTGAAAACGGTATAGTGTTTAATTGCAACAAATGCGGTAGAATATTTTATTCGACCCATTGAAAGAAATGGTTTCTCAGGTATCAGAACATTTATCATTTCATTGGACAAATGAGCAACATATAACTTTTTGTTGTCAGAAAAGAATATTGCAACCATAAATAGAATTTGTGTTGTCCCGGTAATCATTTTTCTGTTCTCAATATAACAAAAATGTATCTCGATAAAAATGTTACTGGTCCATTTTCAAGGGTTCGGATTCGTTGAAGCAAGTAAAATTTCTTGTTAGGACTATGAATTCTTTTTCCGCGTGCAGCCAGGAGTTTTCTAGCACCACCGCGAGAATGCACTTTCCAGGAGTTCCGAGCTCCTCCGGAAGTTCATCGATGGTTTCGAGGAGTGGGGACTTCCGGGCAATCCCGGAAGGTCCTTCGGCGTATCCAAGTCCGAAAATCGCATTGTCGCCCCCGCGGTTCCCCGGCAACGGGCTACTTAAGCAATTTGTCTGCGGGGAGCGAGACTCTCAGTGCCCCGAATCAGATTTCGAAAACTTTACCTCTGCTCCTAAACTCGGCGGAGCCTTCGCCGCTGGCAGCATGCACCAGCAACGTCAGCAAACTCGGCAGCAACGCCAGCTCCCACGTGCGCGGCATCGCTTCCGGCTCTCCCCTCTTTGGTTTGTCGAAGAGAGAGAGGAAGAGAAGGAGAGACTCCAAACAGCAACGCCTGGAGGAGCAGCACTTCCCGACTTGCTCTTTCGAGCTCTTCGAGGTTCCCTTCAGGGTCGTCGGGGCGATTTTCACCTCGCGATCTCCTCGACCGCTATCGGCGTCGACCGGAAGCTCCGCGTCTCGACTCTTGCATCCGGAAACGGAGAATCCTTCCCCGGACACGAGACATTCTCCGATGACGACCCAGAAGTCCCGTCATCTAGTCATCGGACCTCGAAGAACGAGACGCCGTTCAGGACCCTGTCCTCCTATATCCACTTTTTATTCCCTGTACTTCACCTGTCACTTCTCATCTCAACTCGCAAAGAGAAGGAAATTCGAGCCCGCCTGTAACTCTAGCCAGGAAAAATATTTATTATCGAAAGGGGACCCCTTCACTTCTTGTCCCCGATTTCGGTATTCGGGACCTAGGGGCGCTTTAACTTTTCTCCTCCACCGAGATTCCACGGTTCAGGAGTCGAAATTTATTCAAGGTGGAGATTCACCATGCTGAAAGGAAGATGTCCTGGCGATTTTTGAGGTCCGCCTGGGTCGACCAAGGACTTTTTCGAAGACGCCTGATTTTTCTCCACGGTCCAGTAATGGAAATTTGTTCAGGGGAGAAATTCACCCCTCTGGACGAAAGATGTCCGACGCTTTTTCTATGGTGCGTTTGATTTAACTGGGGAGTTTTTGTCGGAGGCGCCAGATTTCTTCCACGGTCCAGGACTCGAAATGTGTTCAGGGGGGGAAATTCACCACGCTGAAGGAAAATGTCCTGACTCTTTTTTGGAATGCACGGTTGGTGACTTTTTGTCGGGGGCACCTTATTTTTTTATGACAGTTTTCGCTGTTCTTTCGGTCACTGCGTGGAACTCGTTCCCAATATTTATTGTATAGGACAGAGGAAAAGAATTTGGCAGTCCGAGGCTCCCATGGGACCCTATCGGCGGGAATTTCGAAGACGTCCCGAGGGACCCCTGTCTTCTTCCTTCGACTTTTCTTTTTGGACCCCTCAGAGTGGCGGCACCTCTCTCGACATGTGCTCGTTATTAAGCCGGACGCGTCCGGGAGCGACTCCGAAATCTTTTGATTGCCAAACGAGCCGACTTTTTGCACCGTCAAGCGCCTCCTCGCGCCTCTTCGGGACGTTCTTCATGGAAGAGCGAGAAGAGGAGTCCTTCCTCGTCACTCCCTCTTAATGTCTATTTAACGCAGCGAGAACACTTACGCCGTCTCCTTTCCCCTTCTTTCCGGGCCCTTTATTTCGGCTTCTTACTTTCGATGCTTTTTTCCGCCTTAAATCATAAAGAGCCGAGAGGAATGCCTCGGCGGCTTCGCCGAAGGAATTTAAATTCCGAGTCCTCGCACGATGGACGGAAAAAAGAGAAGGGGAGAGAGAGAGAGAAACTGAGATTTCCGCACGCGGAGAAACCCGCGAGGCCAGGTGAAGGAGCTTAATCGTCTCCAATTTCGAGGGGCACCGGCTAATTTCGCCGCTTAATTTGCGCCCCAGGAACTTTTCGCGTCCGGGGGTAGGGGGCGGAAAAAGAGATGATAAATCAGGAAACACGAGCCAGGACTCCCGGGAGATAATTCCCAGTGGATTTGCGACTTCCCTTAGGGAGGTCCTTCCTGATCCACGAGTCGACGACCTCGAGATTTCCGGCAATCCCTGTCGGAGACGATCCTCTTTGCGTCGAAGATGTATGCACACTCGCGTATATATAAACAAATAAATAAATATATATATAAATCCTTCTTGAGTGTTCTTTACGTTCTCTTGGCGGAGAGACGGAGCACCGGTCCAGAAGCGTCTCGATTCGGCGCAAACCTCGCACTTTCAAGATTCACCAAGGATCACGACACTCTCGCGGTCTCGCGTATTCGCAAATTCGCAGATTCGCAAAGTAGCAGTTCGCGGACCGGCCGCGAGGGGCGCACTTCGCGGGTGCCGCTTATGCGGGAAGCGACCCGCATCCCCGCGGTCACTCGCTCGCGGACCGTCGTCGAATACGGACGTCTTTGCAGTCGCTACCGGCGCCAAAGAGGAGTCGCCCTCGATGGACGCCTCCGTAGCAGGAAACGAGACGTCGCGACGCCTCGTGAGTTCTCTCGCACGCGCCGACTACGACTGTGGCCAAACTAAAACCAAACCAAAGACACGCGTGCTCTCTCTCTCCCCACTTGGCGGCGCACATGAACGCACGCATACACGAGAAGAGGCGCGCGTAGGCCTCGGAAATACACACGAGGCACGCGGCGCGTCACTCGGCCACTCTCTGGGAAGGGGCTAGGGGAATCGCCGAGCCCGAATAGGGGATTCGACCCGACCATTGCCTACTGTCTAGGCACGGTCATAATGGAGTCTCCCTAGGGGACCTTAGAGAGATCCCCCTAGGGGACCAGGGTGCGGCGCCAGAGACGGCTTCATCCCTGCTGCTCTTTCGATCCTCCTTATTGCGGAACGCTCACTTCCGTAATATCGTCATCGCTGCAGCTGCTCCGAGATAAAACTATCAATTTTATCAAAAAACTGTCAATTCTGCAGGTTTAAGAATTTACTTTACAGAGGAAAATCCAGATGATAAAACTTTGTCAAATTTATCTAAAGTGAATCGGTTTTGGGAATTTAAGCGTCTATTTTGCCGAGGAAAATATAGATGACGAGAAGTTATCAAACTTATCAAGAGGCTGTTGATTTTACGGATTTATGAACTCATTGTGCGGAGGTAAATGTAGACGACGAGAACTTATGAAATTCATCAAAAGACAGGGAAATTGTCGGATTGAAGAGTTTATTTTGCAGAGGAAAATGTAGATGACCCCTTGACTTCCAACTTTCACGTTTGATGAATAATTTACTGCCCTTTTTATTTCAAGTGGGGAGCCCTCGCTCGAGGTGCGCCCGCTAAGAAACTTACTCATCGTTTTATGATTCACTCCCCGTTTAACGCCGGGCCGCGCTTTAATGCGCAGCCGCGAATGAATGGACGCCGACCCGGCAGACGAGTTGAATTTCCACCCTTAGGCCACTTTCGCGATTTACTTCAAGAAGGAGGCGAGAATCTGAGACCGTTATCACGACCGCATCGTTATATCGGCGCTCGTCATCGAACGATGGCAATTCTTATTCTCGATCCATAAACAATATGGCCGCTCTTCACGGCGGTCGGGAAAACCGGGGCTACATCCTCGTTAAACCGACAGTATTCTGCTCGAGAGTTGGCGTTATATGGGGGAGTAAATAAGGGAAGGGAAGGAAGAAAGGGAGGGAGAAACCTCCTAACTCGGGCAGATAAGAAAATAAGTAAAAATGAAATCGCAATCGCACCCCTGATACCTCGAGCCCCACCCCCTGCGAAGACACGGAGGCACCAAGGAGTTCCTTCGTTCATCCGGGAGCAATATTTATCCCCCCTCGTTAAACTCCGTTTCATTTATTTTCCCTCCCGGCAGAGCCACTCGTCATCCACAATGACACCCGGCAGGAATTACAGTTATCGTGCCACCCCTTCGGAGTGAGCCGAGCGCGACTCCACCCTCGCCGATTCTGCAAGGGCCCTTATTCGAGCCTGTTGGCCCGACATGTGGTTAAGCCAGAACCGAGATGGACCACCATAGGCACCGGTCGTTGGCCAGATGGCTGCCCGTTTACAGGTCCATTCACAGAAGGTCAAAGCACGCCGTTTCCTCCACCCGCGAGGTCAAAGGCGCGTCCACCTCGAGAACGGTTCCCCGCGTCCATTTTCGGGAACCCAGGTCCGAGGAGGTTACTCTCGCACCCCCGGTAATTTCAATTATTTCGCAACCCCACTATCGCCTCCAGAGTAACGTTTGCTCATGGGTCCATGTGTACAGGGCATGGTAGAATTTGCCCGAAAAATGTACGTCCCTCTCCTCGAAAATGGAGTCGTAAAGCCCTACTGAATTTCCCTGTTTCCCCCGGTGCGTGTATTGAGAGAGAAGAAAAATTTCATTGGACCAAAGAAATATTTCTTTTAGTAGTAGCCCATTTCTTTTTCCTCTTTTATACGCTACACGTTTCTAAACATTTTCAAGCTCATGTTTGACTACGTATCATGCGATACACAGGTTTCGCCCTTCTAAGGGAATACACTGAATAAAAATCGCTCGGGGCGACGTCGGTCTAGGTGAAGAGATCAATCGCCGAGTCTCGTGGCCGATTTCATTCATCCTTTCGCGCTCCGTTCGCGAGTGACGCGGAATCGAGCGGAAAAATCCGTATGACAAGGGGAGGGGGTGGATGGGGAACCTAACCTAAAGGCGCCACGGAGCCGCGCGTATTTACACGCGAGGGGATTCGAGCTAGGGCCGGTAGTGGATTCTATTTCGAGAGAGCGAACTCTCCCTCCATCCTCCTCGCCTCTTGACCAGCGCGAAACCCGCCCACGCGTGCTCACGTGCGTCCGCCAAAAGCGAGGTCTCTGCTGGAATTTCTGGCCACCGAATGGTACGTGGCCTGGGCTAACCTCCTTTGCCCCCCATCATCCCCTTTCGCCTATTTCGAGAAGCGAGATTAACCCTTTCGCGCCCGGCAACACCGCCAAAAGGGGCGCAACCTTGCCGGTGAAATGGACTCGGTGGAAACGGCCTTGAAGATGCGCGTCACGTATGGACGTAACGAGGGAACTCTTGGAAGATTTTTGTCTGTTTCTTCATTCTTTTTTTTCTTTTCTTTTTTTTTCAGTGTTTCTTTAATTTTTTCTCGGTGTTTCTTTTCGCTCTTTTTTAGGTGCCACGGGATAGAGAGTCACGGGTCGACCCGGCTCTAATATAAATACTTGGGAATAATTTATTCCGGGTGGAGGAAGAGTCAATCCAGGGTTAGGAGCCCTAAGGAAGATCGGAGAACGGCTTAGACGAGCAGATACAACGCGCCCCTTTTTCTATCGTGCCCGTTCTTGTTTTCCTTACGACCCTCATTTACCCCTCTTCTTGTTTATTTATCCTTCCTCCACGGAGCCAGCGGAGAATATAAATGGCCCGCGAGATTTAAACCTATCGATGGCTCGCACCTATGCTCCAGCCAAGGCCCTGGACCGCCGCCCGATCCTCCGCGGGATCTTTATTAATAGCGTAATGCTGCGATTCCGATTTATATGCGGGGTAACTCATCCCTCGAGGCATGGGCCGATTTATGCGCGCACTTACCGCGAACGTCGAACTTTTCGACGAATCTTCCGGCGAGCTCGGATCGCTCGTAAATCTGGAGAAACGGGAGACCTAACCTGAAAAATCGGAGGCCCCCAAATCTGAAGAGAAAAAACGTACGAAATGATCTAGGGAATCGGAAGGAACGCGCGAAATAACCTGAAATAAAAATGCAATGCCCCAAAAAACTGAAGAAACGTACCACCTTATTTAAAAAATCTGATGCCCCGAAATCAGAGGGAACGCACAAAATAACCCGACAAAATCTGAAGAAACGTGCGAGCTAACCTGATGAATGTAATGGCCCTAAATCTGAAGAAACCTAAACTAACATTAAAAGCAATTCTTCAAATCAATGATGCCAAGAATTTCCCTTCCCTTGCCATCGCTGTGTATCGATAAATTATGATTCATAATCCGTGCAGTTTAACCGAATTCGCCCATGGCGCGCGCCCAAGGTCCACGCGTAGATTAAATCAGATCGGTTTAGATCGGTTTGCACGGATCAATCGGGGAAATTAATCGTAACACGTGTAGTCGCCTTACAACCGTAACGTCCCACCGTGGGAATCAATCCGCCGGAGATTCACCCAGCCGCGAAAAATCCCGGTAGATTGCGCGGCACCCCGAATTGTCTAGCCTCCCGGAGCTCCCCCGGGAGCGCAGTAAAACCTGCCGGGCGCAATTTCGCGGGCGAACTCGAACGTGCCAAGTAAGTGGCAGGGATCCGGCGATTTTTACGAGCGACCAACTCGCCAGGACTTCGGGTCTCGGAATGTCCCGAAGTTCGGCAGTCCTTGGAGAGAGGATGGTCGAGGCACCCCGTTAAGACTAGCCATAAACTACCGTGACATCTAAACCCCACCTATGCCTTGAGAGGGTGAGAACGCATGCCACGAAGTACGGATGCACAAGAACGGACAGTCGGGGGTGTTTCACCCCGTGGGGCGACACGATGCAAAGGAGACAAGAGAAGAAAAAAAGAAACACTGAGAAACAGAACTGCATGGAGGCAAAGGAATAATTCCTTGAATGGTCCCGAAGAAATGTTTTCTTAATTCAAAGAATAATGAAGTGGCCGGAATAAAGTGAAATAAATTGTCATAATTCCGAAGAAACGTCGCATCCAATTAATTCCAGGTCATTTCAGTCAAATAATTATTCTCTGAACTAACGAAATATTTCTTTCTTACTATTCCTGTTGAGTTAAATTTATATTCCCAGGGTACGACTGGTCGAAATCGACCAAAAGGGGGTGAGAATAACATCCCTTGTCTCCTTTACCCCATGACACCATTTCTCGGGTCCCTCAAATGGGCATCGATGGTTTCGATGCGTCGAGAAGTCGGATCGATATCCGCGGCCGGAAGTCGAGCCTCCGACCACCGTGGAGTTTGAATCCCTTCCAGGAAATAATAGAATCAGCGGGGGAGGGGGATCGACTTAATTGATACGAATTGGCCCGGAATTTATGGCCGGACTTAGGTGGTCCCGGGAGCGGCTACCGAGGAGCCGGGGTCCCGGGGAAGTGGTAAACTACCGGGAACGCTATGCGGGCTGCTGGAGTCCCTCGGGACCCCCTGGACCCCAGGGACCGGGACGCGAGTCGGGAAATATCGACGCACTCGCCGTCATAATTTAACCGGTCGCGATCGATCGGTTAAATAGTTAACCGAGACACGAGACACGTATAGCGACTGTTTGGCGCGCGCCCCATAAGTTGGCTGATTCGATTATAAACTCGGCCCCCCGGAGTGCCGGCAACTTGGCAATTCGATTCCCGCGGACTGATAATTTGATAAAAATGGCCCGCTAACGATCCCGCACTTCGGAATTTCATTAACGCCGCCGAATCGCCCGGTCCGACCAGTAATTAGCTAACTACCGAG